GGGGGCCGAAGCCATGAATGGGCCCTGCACGATGGTGGCCCTGTGGCCAGTGAGGATGGAGATCCAGCTCCGCCCATGGGCAGCCCTAGCTCCGAGGGAGACAGCCTTCTCTTTGCAACCCCTTTATGCTGGCAGCATCTGGGGCCCCCCAGAGTAGAGGTGCCTACCCAGAAGCCTTGCCTGAGTGGGGTCTCCTGCTGGGTCCCCCCTCCCGACCTGCACCCCAGGGACGCACTCTGCTTGAAGCCGAGATGGGGCACCCTCTCGATGGGCGTGTGTCGCTCCTTCATGAACTTGTAGAGGCTGACCAGGAAGGCCTGCTCCTCCTCCCGCTCCTGCTCCTCCTCCCGCTCCCCGCCTGTCTCGGGGGAGTCCTGGGGAAAGAACAGGAGGCACTGGGGTGAGCCCCCGCTGGTGGTGGCGGGGGACACGGAAACCACGGACCGTGGGGAGGAATATGTGCCTGGCCCCTGCCCCAGCTCCGGGAGTACCAGCTGCTGCCCAGCGCTGCGGGGATTGCCCTGCGCCCCACGCACAGCTGTTAGACCCAGGGCCAGGACGGGGAGTCCTGGAGCTCTGCAGCGGCGGGGGGCCCCGAGGCGCCGGGGCGAGCCCAGAGCGGCGGGAGAGGGTCAGCCACAGGAGCGGACCCTGGGTTCGTGGGCCTCGTTCCCCGCCAGGTTTGCTTCAGCCTTTTGCTCTTGATCTGTGACCTGTGTGTCCTAGCTCCCATCTGTGCCCCCGAGGGACAAGAGCTGACAGGATGAAGGTGCTCAGTGCTTTCTGGGCTGTGGGGGTCCCTCCACTGTGCTGTGTCATAGAGCCTCTACAGAGGTGGCCTGTCCCTCTGAGCCTCCAGATGGCCATGCTGGGCCCAAGGAGGGTGTCCAGGAGCGCGCTTCCAGGTGCACAGGACTTTGGAGTTCCAGCCCTGAGCGGTAAGTTCTGCCACTGCTGCTCATCTGGCTGATAGCTTGGGGCCTTGGGGAGCCGGTGTCCTGCCCCGGAGGCTCCTACGCCCAGGGCCTGGCTGGGGAGACCCAGGACAGACTACGTGCCCCACTGACTTTTTTTTTTTTTTTTTGACATGTTTTCGTT